TCTGAATCTATGACCTACAGCAAGTTTTGAACCCCTAGGCCATTTTACTATATTTTTACTTATATTGAATTCAACAATTTTTATATAAAAATTCACTTTCTCCTTTTTGCACACTATAATTTTTCTAGTAAGACGATTCAATTGAACCCCTTTTTTCAACTTAGCTCCGCCCCGGGTATAAATTAAACTTACGCTTATGCGAATTAGTGAAAAAAATAGACTAATCTAACATTTAACTCCGCACTCATTATCACCATAACTTTCAGCTTGGTAGAATCATTTTACCATTTATAAATCACGAGCACAAATTCACAGCTCGTATTTCTGAAAAAATCATATACTCTATATTTTTTCCTAATAACGTCCTGCCATCTGGACCCGATCCGAAAGGATCAAATGTCATAGCCATCAATCAGATCATAAAACATCAATACAATTCAAAAGAAGCTGAGATCCTTCAGATTTCAGATCTCACCACATACGAAAGCAATTATCTCTATTAAATTAATAGTATTAATCATCAATTACTTAAAATTTGAATTTCACAAGCAACAATTAACACACGCCTGTATAAATCTAGTTGCATCCGCAGGCAAAAACAAAATTTCATAAAATAAAAGGAAATATTAATTCAACAAATTTACCTTTAGAACGTTGAGATTAGGAGAAAAGTCTTCCCGATCTGAAAGGAGAAAATGAGAGAAAAATTTTGACCTGTTTTTTTTAATTGGTTTCGTATTTTGGACTTTAAAGCTTTATTTATATGTGGAGGAGGCCACATCGACATAGCGAATCAGTTATTGACACGTAATCCAGCTCAGCTTGACAAAAATCTGATCTGGGAGTTTATGAAGTAAATGCAAAATAATATTTCTTTAAAAAAAAAAGAAGGTAAAGTCACACTATTTGATAAAGTTGGTTGAGGTTTTTTTTTTAATAAAAAAAGACATAATTTCATCTAGAAAAAAGAACTAAAGTTTTTTAACTCGAACTTTCTCACTTTAATAGAAAAATGACACTGTATAACTGATATCAAAATAATAGCTGAAAAATATATATTTTTATAATTTTTTGTATAGATATATTTCTTTATGTTATATACAAAAATATACAAAGTTTATACATTTTGCAGTTATCAAATGTAAATAATTTTTAAAACGGGCTAAAAATTATCTTTGCCAACTTTAAATTCTCTATTTCAAAGTAAAATTGAAATAATGGACAAAATTGTAAACCAAATATTGAGTTAGTTATAAAATATCAGTATTTGCATATGTCCAACGCCTACTCTTATTTCACGCTTTGAACACATTATAATAATCTTAACATTTAGCATAGGATCTCCATAGTATAACGATTTCAGGGGTTGTTTAGTTACTTGCACTAGGATGCTAATTTTGGCATCTAAAATTTGAGATTATATTTATTTCGTGGTTGATATTTCATATTAACTAAAATTAATGTAAAGTTTATACAAAAAATTGGTATTATCTATCCCGTATACGATGTGATATTATAGTCCCAGAATATTCTTGTTCCGAACTAATCAATCACTTATGGCATTTTAAATGACCTAATGAACAATAATTATGGCTTTGCAATGACTGTTACTCGTTTTTTGGGGAATTTTAGGGCCATAAAATAGGAATTCCGAACGATTTCTAATTTTTCGTGTGCTAATATCCACGTCATCTTCATGAATTTGGGAGACGGGCTCGGAATCACCTAAAATTTTATGGGCCCATCAGAAACTACCTAATAAACAATAGTCATTATTTCGTCATGATTGTTTCTCATTTTTTGGCGTTTATAGCCATAAATCAGAAATTAAAGACGATTTTCAATTTTTCATGTGCTAATGTTCACGCCATGCCGAAGGTCTATCGAAAACAGCCTCTTTATCTCTATGGGGTAGGGGTAAGGTTTGCGTACACACTACCCTCCCCAGACCCATTTATGGGATCAAACTGAGTTTGTTGTTGTTATTGTTGTAATTTCCACGCCATCTCCATGGATTCAAGCGACAAGCTCCAAATCGCTTAAAAATTTGTGGCCCATAAAAAATGACCTAACTATGGACTATACAACAACAACAATAATAACAACCCAGTATAATCCCACTAGTGGGGTCTGGGGAGGGTAGTGTGTACGCAGACCTTACCCCTACCCTGGGGTAAAGAGGCTGTTTCCAATAGACCCTCGGCATTCTTCCCTCCAAGAACTCTCCACCTTGCTCTTGGGGTGACTCGAACTCACAACCTCTTGGTTAGAAGTGAAGGGTGCTTACCATCAGACCTAACTATGAACTATGCACACAAAAATATGGAAATCAGCTCGAATTCTAGTTTTTTTGTCCTAAAATGCCAAACAAGGTTGTTCATTAGGTCATTTATGATAGCCCCAAAAATTTTTAGGCGATTCGGATCTGATAGCCTAGATTCATGCAGCTGGCGTTGACTATAGCATACGAAAATTTAAAAATCGACCAGAATCTTAGTTTTTTGGCCCTAAAATGCCAAGGAATAAGGACCGGTCATACCGAAACCATGACTATTGTTCATTAGGTCATGGTTTATGGACCCGTAGGAGATTTGAATCTGGTAGCCCGAATTCATACAAATGTCGTGGACGATAGCACACGATAATTTGAAAATCGGCCAGAATTCTACTTTTTTTGCCGAGAAATGCCAAAAAATGAGGAACGATCATGACAAAGTCATGACTATTGTTCAATAGGTTATTTTTATGGCCCCACAAA